GGTGAGCCTCACTGGCCGAAGCAGGGAGCGGAAGCATCGAGTAAGTCTGAGGCCTGGGCAACAGAGCGCCACGCGCAGGTTCTGATGCTTAGCCAATGGGTATACTTCCAGCCGACAGTTGCGGGGATTCGATCCAGGTAGCCCACACTTCGTGTTTGCCGAAACAAGCGTCAGCGACCCGAGAATTTGATGCCAAACATCGAAGTAACACATAAGGTGGATTCTGTTGTTTCTGTGCATTGAGCGCTTTCGACAGCGGGTTTAGGATGGGTGAGTGTAGGACAAACATTGGCCAAAGCAAAGCTGCCAGAACATGGCCAAAGCAGCCGCCAAAGCAGCCCGGCGCACACACACGCCCAAACACACACTTCAAATCATAATATCCGCGGCGGACCCCCCTGTCTGCAAGGGCGAGCTGCTCGAATAGGGAGGGCGCAGCATGTGGATCGCAGCATCCTCATCTGATTACACATCCCGTCATGGGTTTTCATGCGATGTTACGTCAGGCACCGCTGGTGATTATTATCATCATCATCATCATCATCATCATCATCATCATCATCATCATCGTGATCATCATCATCATCATCATCATCATCATCATCATCATCATCATCATCATCATCATCATCATCATCATCATCATCATCATCATCATCATCATCATAATTATGATAATGATCATCATCATCATCATCGTGATCATCATCATCATCATCATCATCATCATCATCATCATCATCATCATCATCATCATCATTCTCCATCATCTGGATCATCACGATCCCAGGGTTCAGGGACTCGGCGCACACAATCACACACACACACACACACACACACGTCGAATTGTCCAAGTCGCAGCAGCACAAACAAACTCAGGACTTAGAGCTGGTGAATGATCCGAACTGTCCATCAGGTTGGAGGAAAGAGTAGACTAACTGAGGAGCCAGGAATGGATGAGCAAAAAGGGGTGTTAACATGTGTGTGTAGGTCTGTCAAAGGGCTGCGATTTTTAGGTCAGTGCCAGCCTCTGGAAGGTGCCATGGTGCCATGTGCCGCCACGCCTGGCCGGCAACTCCGCATTGCATCACTCCGGTGTGGTGAACTGAGGAAACAGCATGGGTAAAGGCTTTAAAACTGCCTTTGGCGCTGGCTCCTTTGGTGAAGACCAGCGATACGCTCATGGGAACCCATGCAACCCTCAAATATGAGCATTGGCGAGTCGGTGAGCGGGGGCACGCCATTTCATCCCACACCAGCAAACAAAATGTAAGGATGGCTTGAATCACAATGCGCACTGCGCACCCTGCCTCGCTTGGCAAAAGCGCCGCAGGTCTTGACTATTGCCCAGGCGTGAAAGCAAGGATGCACCGCCTAGGATCCTTTTGGGACGCCATTTGGTCCGCTGCAATCCCATGTGAGGACTTTGGGTCTTCAGGGCCTTGGCTTTGCTGAAACAAGTCGCCAATGAGTCGTGCTGGATGCAGTGACAAATGTTCCTTTGTCTTTTGCGTCACACTGACATGGCGATTATATGTAGGCGCTACCAAGACCTCAAGCAATCTCATGGAACAAGCCAGAAATCATGGTACTAGTACTCAGCAAACCGTTGGAAGCAGCAAGCCCCGCTTTCCATCAAGCAGGCATGAATCAAGCCTGGGCGAAGATTCAAATCGTCGCGCGCTGAATTCAGTCAATTACTCTGGGCCAGTTTGGGTTGAGCAATGCATCTCGCGTCAATGAGCTTGGAGAAAATGTTCAAGCTCATTGACGCGTCCCACGAATTGGCCAAGAATTGTTGCTCAATCCAGCACACCTCGCAGCCCTGCGTCTCGTTTGGCGAGTTGCAGGGTGCTGCCCTCAAGCAAGTGCGGTCCTTGAGAGCCTAGTCTCCCGACTTTCCTTCCAAGGACACTGTCGAATTCCTATCAGCGGTCGGTAAAATTGCCACCAGGCAGAACCGACATCGACTAGCAGAAACTTAGCATGCGCTGCGTGGAGGATACTGCAAATCTTGAGAAAGCACTCGGGTGGGATTCCACATAAGCATACGGCTGCATTTTGCCCGTCTGCTTTACCAAGATGCGCAGGTGGCCTGCCGTTCGTTTTTGCGAGTCTCGATTGACTCCGCATATTCCGATGGCAAGCCCTGTAAAATTGGGGGGGCAAAATCGGTGCTAATATGCCTGCCTACTCGGTTTCGAATTGACTCGAAATGGCCTCATCAACTTCCAGGCTCTTCAGCCTCACTTGTGGGTCATATTCCAGTGGGCGTCGGCGAAGGTGCCTGGCTGGCATGTTGCATCTGCTTGGCTTCGTGATGCTCCCTTCATCTCTGCGGGAAATTGCACTCAGTACCCTGACCCTTAAACAGGCAGCGTCTTGCACAATCACGGATACTGCTTGCAAGCATGCTGAAGCCCTTCATTCCGTTGTTCCTTCTTTGGAAACAAGAAATGCCGTGCTTCGAGCAACTCCATAACAGCATTAACCACGCTTGGCCAGCCACTCAAACCGTTCCGGGTGCAATGAGTCGCTTGGTGCCATGCCTGTCTCCATCGATGCGTAGAAGCTCAATTCGCCAGAGAGCGCCACACCTCAACGCCAGAAGCAAATTGTCCCTTCTGCAAGAACGTGACTAGGTGCGGGTGTGTGCGTGTGCGCAGGTGTGCGTGTGTGTGTGTGCTATGTGCGGTGTGTGAGTGATTGCGCAGCTTGTGTGTGTGTGTGTGTGGGTGTGGGTGTGGGTGTGTGTGCGTGTGCTTCCAAGTTTGTGTATGTGTGCGTGTTTGCATATTTGCGTATTTGTATGCATTTGCATTTGCGGTGTGTGTGTGTGTGTTGTGTGATGTGTGATGTGTGCTGTGTGAGGGGTGATGTGTGTCTGCCTCTGTTTGTGAGTGTGTGCCTGCGTGCCTCCGTGTGTGTGTGTGTGTGTGTGCGTGCCTCTGTGTGTGTGTGGGTGGGTGGGTGGGTGGGTGGGTGGGTGGGTGTTCGTGTTTGTCTGTTTGTGTGTGTGCGTTTGTGTGTGTGTGTGTGTGTGTGCGTGTGCGCGTGTGCGCGTGTGCGCGTGTGTGCGTGTGTGCGTGTGTGCGTGTGTGCGTGTGTGCGTGTGTGCGTGTGTGCGTGTGTGCGTGTGTGCGTGTGTGCGTGTGTGCGTGTGTGCGTGTGTGCGTGTGTGCGTGTGTGCGTGTGTGCGTGTGTGCGTGTGCGTGTGTGCGTGTGTGCGTGTGTGCGTGTGTGCGTGTGTGCGTGTGTGCGTGTGTGCGTGTGTGCGTGTGTGCGTGTGTGCGTGTGTGCGTGTGTGCGTGTCTGCGTGTCTGCGTGTGTGCGTGTGTGCGTGTGTGCGTGTGTGCGTGTGTAAGTGTGCGCGTGTGCGCGTGCGCGTGCGTGCGTGCGCGTGCGCGTGCGCGTGCGCGTGCGCGTGCGTGTGCGCGTGCGTGTGCGCGTGCGTGCGTGGGCGTGCGTGCGTGCGTGCGTGCGTGCGTGCGTGTGCGTGCGTGCGTGTGCGTGCGTGCGTGCGTGCGTGCGTGCGTGCGTGCGTGTGCGTGTGCGTGCGTGCGTGCGTGCGTGCGTGCGTGGGTGCGTGGGTGTGTGTGTGTGTGTGTGTGTGTGTGTGTGTGTGTGTGTGTGTGTGTGTGTGTGTGTTTTTGTGTGAGTGGGTGCGTGTGATTGGGTGCGTGTTTTTGTGTGTGTGTGTGTGGTTGCGTGTGTGTGTGTGTGTGCGCGTTTGTGTGTGTAATCGTGTTCATGTTCGTGTTGTGTGTGTGAAAATTGTGCGTGTGTGCGTGTCGTCTTGTGAGTTTGTGTGTTTGTGAGTGCGTGTGAGTGATTGTGTGTGTGGGTGTGTGTGTGTGTGTTTGTGTGTTTGTGTGTGTGTGTGTTTCTGCTTGCGTGTTCGTGTGTGTGTGTGTGTGTGTGTGTTTGTGTTTGTGTTTGTGTTTGTGTGTGTGTGTTTCGTGTGTGTGTTTGTGTGTGTTTCGTGTGTGTTTGTGTGTGTTTGTGATTGTGTTTGTGTTTGTGTGTGTGTTTGTATGTGTGCTGTGTGTGTGTGTGTGTTTGTGTTTGTGTGTGCTGTGTGTGTGTGTGCGTGTGTGTGTGTGTGTGTGGTTGTGCTTGTATGTCTGTGTTTGTGTTTGTGTATTTGTGCTTGTGTTTGTGTGCTTGTTTGTGTGTGTGTGCTTGTGTTCGTGTTTGTGTGTTTGTGTTTGTGTTTGTGTGCTGTTTGTGTGTGTGTGTGTGTTTGTGTGTTTGTGTTTGTGTGTTTGTGTGTGTGTTTGCGTGTGTGTGGTTGATTGTGCGTGCGTGCGTGTGTGGGTGTGTGTGTGTGTTGTGTGTGTGTGTGTGCGTTTGTGTTTCTGTTTGTGTTTGTGCTTGTGTTTGGTGTGTGCTTGTGTTTGTTTGTGTGTGTGTGTTGTGTCTGTGTGTGTGAAAGTTGGTGTGTGTGTGTGTGCGTGTGTGCGTGTGTGCGTGCGTGCGTGTGTGCGTGCGTGCGTGCGTGCGTTTGTGCGTGGGTGCGTGGGTGCGTGGGTGCGTGGGTGTGTGTGTGTGTGTGTGTGTTTGTGTGTGTAATCGTGTTCATGCTCGTGTTGTGTGTGTGTGTGTGGGGGTTGTGCGTGTGTGTGTGTGTGTCGTCTTGTGAGTTTGTGTGTTTGTGAGTGCGTGTGAGTGATTGTGTGTGTGTGTTTGTGTGTGTGTGTGGCTTTGTGTTTGTGTTTGTGTGTATGTGCGCGTTTGTGTTTGTGCGTTGTTTGTGTGTGTGTTATGTGGTTCTTTTGTGTGGTGTGTGGGTGTGTGTGCGTTTATGTTTGTGTGGTTGTTTGTGTGTGTGTGTGTTTGTGTTTGTGCTTGTGTTTTGTGAGTGAGTGAGTGAGTGAGTGAGTGAGTGAGTGAGTGAGTGAGTGAGTGAGTGAGTGAGTGAGTGAGTGAGTGAGTGAGTGAGTGAGTGAGTGAGTGAGTGAGTGAGTGAGTGAGTGAGTGAGTGAGTGAGTGAGTGAGTG